TGTTTCGCTACTGTTTTACATTACTACTGCTTCCCGTAGTTGATTATGATTTAATGGTCATTTATTAATTATTAAAACTTTAGGTGATTCCTTATCGAGTACTACTTGGCGAGTCCGTGCCAGGAATTCCAAATTACTTACTTTATACGTATGTACTAATAGTATTCTAAAACCATATGTTTATTATTAAGCTTTTACCGTTATTATTTTTGACGAAGTATTGTTAATATGCTCTAGTATATAGAAATTTGACACTGATTTTGAATTTGATGACTGGCATAATGGACGCAAATTTATGTCAAGAAATGCACGGACCTGCCAAGTAGTACTCGATAAGGAATCACCTAAAGTTTTAATAATTACTAAATGACCATTAAATCATAATCACCTACGAAAAGCAGTAGTAATGTAAAACAGTAGCGAAAACATTATAGGAAATTTTGAAAATGCAATTAAAATGATGGGACAGTGCTAGATCATATAATAGGCAAACATGTACTTACTGATGTACTTGGCCTCAATAATCTAATATCAATACTTTTTATTTGAGAAATACACAGCACTTCTGTACTTGGCGTAGGTTTTTACGTAAGTGTTTTTTTGGGGGATATCATAAATTTTTGTTGCTCAACGGGACATAGAAGCTCTAAGCACTGAAATCTATATTTTCACAGATATAAAATGTTAATGCATTATGATGTCGCTAATCCGAAAAATATATTGCGTTGTCGAAAATGTTTAGTGGCATATAAATATAATTTGTAAGTCCCTTAGAAATGCATACAGATATATACAAATTTTTAAAGAAAATGTAATCTAGAATGCATATAAACGCCGTTACTGGTGTCCAGCTTGTTGAAGCCGCGTGGTAAACGTAAGAGAGAAGAGTGTACTGGATTATTTACAGACCTCAGGCCGTGCGACGAACATAAAGGATACTATAGTTTGAGCGAAGCGCCAGAGTGTCGCTCGTTGCACACTTTTCTAGAACGCTGTGGACTTCTACGTCCGACACCTAGATACAAGAAACTACGGAGCGGAACACCTGGACACCCTGGACTTCCACGCCCGACCCCTAGATACAAGAAACTACGGAGCGGAACACCTGGACACAAGGCTTTTCCTTGTGAGTAGCAACCATAATTACAAAAGAAATTCGGCCTTTTTATGTTCAACGTTTGAGGCGAAATAAAATTTTGTCACGATCAAAAAGATCCTTAAAATTAACAACTTACACGTCATATAATTTCATATGTCCATCGTCGGATGCCGTGAGAAGTAATTGTGAATCAGGTGAAAAACATAAAGATCTAATTGGCATCGCATGACCTGTAAAAAGTGAAAGTCTTGACAGAAATGTTCACGTAAAAATGTAGTAACTGTATATGTATATACAGGGTGTTCCGAAACTACCTGACCCGGTGGGTATGGTGGTGTTCGGGAGGCTTCACTGATCACGAAAATGACCTTCTTTTTGTCCGGAAGGTCATTTTCGTGATCAGTGAAGCCTCCCGAACACCACCATACCCACCGGGTCAGGTAGTTTCGGAACACCCTGTATATATGTATATGTACATCCATACTCATTTAGAGAATGATTCGCCGCTTCGTAGTAACAATGCTACCGATGACAATCAGCGCGTCGCGACGCATTCGTCGTGGTTTTTCACTAAAAGAAATCTGTGATTTCTGATTAAAAAAATATTTTGAGAAAAAAAATAAAAATTATCCCTCAAAATGACACACTCGGTAACGCGCGAGTAAATGGTCCAGTTGCTCGGCACGCCTCCCTCTGATAGGTCAACTCTGACCTGCTCCCATTTAAAAACTATGACCTTCCGGACAAAAAGAAGGTCATTTTCATGATCAGTGAAGCCTCCCGAACACCGCCATACCCACCGGGTCAGGTAGTTTCGGAACACCCTGTATATTTATTTATAATTTCACCTTCTAACGTTCGTAGTACTTTTCCATAAGCGACGTCAAATATATTAATAATTCCATCTATTGCACCGCTTGCAATGTATTTACCATCAGGACTCTGGATTAACATACAAAACATTATATTACACAAGAATCACTTTAATTTTCCCTAAAATCACAGTTTAATTCAAATATCGTTGAGACCAGCATTATAGTTTTCAGAAAATATTAATGTGATGGCATCTTCAGAATTAGCAAGACTTTTATAATATTACATGTCTACTTTAACTTCTTTTGTGAAACATATTAGGAAAATACTTAAGGGGAGGAATGGAACACGCTATGTGTATGGATGAGCCGTTACATGGACGAGGTTGGGAGCGAGGGAAATTCACACCCAAAAATCTCGCGATTGGTTATACGAAAGCAATTTCCAATGATATTGTGTAAAGTTCATAGATGTAAAACTTTCCCTGCATGCCCCCTTTCCTATTTCCATGGGTAGCTCTATGCAACAGTACGATGAGTGTTGACTAGTCCAAGTGGCACATATTCATTTTTGATATCTTTAAGTCACCTTCTTACAAGTTAACTTTTCGGTTAGTCGAATAGTTGATAAACAAATAACAAAAGCAATTATGAAAAAAACTTAACTTTAAAGAGATATCAAAAGTATACCAAAATAATGTTGGTGAAATAGCATACTAAAAAAGTTATTGAAATGACATTATAAAGGATCGTCATAATAGATAATATTTTAAAGACAACCAAAAGTCATCAATTTTATGATTAAATGTTGTCTATGTAACACTTTTTTGGGATGACAGAAAAGTTGTCAAAAGATTGACAAATAGTTATCTTTTTGAAATATTCCAAAAGCTATTTTTTGCGGGAAGGGGATGACGTTAGATATTTATTTTGTAATGAAAAAAATAACTTTTATAATACTGAAAATCTACTGTTAATGTTCTTCGAATGTCTTTAAGACATCAATAAGTTGTCTTTGTGCCACTTGAGAGGGAACACCAAAAACATTGTCCAGTCGCCATGACAGATACGTAGGCGGTTATTTTCGGTATTCAGTTATATTTTATATATTGTCTAAAAAATAATTTCAAAATTCGGCTTTGTAAGGAAAGACATTTTATCGGAAGGCTTCAATTTTGTGTAATTGATGAACAGTGCTTTTTGTGAAGATTTTTGGATGCAAAGTTTCCCCCTTTCCAGCCTCATAAGTGCCCTAATTACTATTTGCTAGTATTAAATAAATCTTTTAAAATATTACTTAATATATTTTTATATTTGATTACTATTTCAGTTGTGGGTTGATTGTTGCAAAAGTGGTCTCAAAATGCTTGTTCATATTGCGGAATATAAACTGAATTCCAGTTTGGGAAAGAATCTCTGACAAAATCTTGATATTTACAAATTTCGTTTACACTTTACTCGGGTTGGGCAGCTACCCAAGCGCCGCTTGCGTTACTGTTGCTTGCAGCAGTAGGTCGTGCCAGGTACAGTCGTACAGCTAGGCGGAAGTTTCCGATGTACTGACAACTGCCAGAGGCAACAGGAATACAAGGGGAGCAGCCCAGTTCTACACGGAATAACTCTACGTGGTTAATTCTACACCAAACACGGGGAAATTACGATTTCCGTTCCCTTGATTTCACAATTGTTTATTGTAATTGTAAGGAAAGACATTTTATCGGAAGGCTTCAATTTTGTGTAATTGATGAACAGTGCTTTTTGTGAAGATTTTATGTTTTATGAGAAAAAAAATATATATGAGGCTCATTGCACTAACTGCTGTAGTTTTCGAGATATGCAGTGTTAAAGTCACAAATAAATAATACTAACTTTTAAATAATACTTTGGTTTCCAAAGCGTTTTTTAGTCGGACAGTTGTTCTTGGTATCATCTTTGACTTGGAAAAGATTAGTCCAATAATTATTATGTTAGCACCTTTAGTTTAAAAATAGAGCAATTTCAAACCAGTGTTCTACATTGTTACTAATCCTAATGGTATTCAGTTAAAAAAAAATTGTTGGCGAGCGAGTCCAACATATTATTCTAAGACTGTGATGGGCCACACCATTTCTAATCATTCATTTAGGTTCAAGGATCAGTTGCTTTCGCTAGTGTAAATTGCAATTTAAAACATTCCATGTCACGGAAATTAAAGCGGTTAGCACAATGAGCCGCATACACTATTTTGTTCCTCGTAAAAAATACAACCATAAACAATTATCAAATCAAGCGGTCCGAGAAATCGTGATCTCACATTACTCTGTGTAGAATCGGGTAGTCTAGAATTATATTTTACTATTAACAACCATGTACAGTTGTCTCGTGTAGAGATGGGTGCTACTCAGCGAATATAACCGGCGTTCTGGTAAATAATAGCGATCCCTGTAGACGCATGATAATGAGAGGTCCACATTTGCCTTAAGAACATTGGAATATTTTGCTTAACCTTGATGCAGAAAAATTTCAAATATACATCATATAAACTAAATAATTCATTACGATGATTAAAAAAAATAAAACACTTACGTAAGCCACACTCAAAGTAAACTTTCCACCTCTAGTATCCAATGTTTGTTCTTGTTTACCACTTTCAGTACCATATAAGTGTATTTTGCCAGCATGACTTCCTGATACAATAAATTTATCATCTGGTGAAAAAACCACTGTCCAGATATCCACAGGTCCTACTTCAATATTAGATATTTTCTCTCCAGTTGCCAAATTCCATAACCTTAGACTAGAGTCAAGTGAACTAGAAGCACATTCTGAAAATCAATTCGAGATAAAGAATTACTGAGAAGTATATGCATAATTGTAATAATGTAAACTAAAAACTTTAAGTTATTGTTAACAGGAATTTTTCTTTTAGCCAGTAGCCATGAATTACCATGATATCGGATATACAGAGTCTCTCAGTACAGAGATTAAGAGAGAATCCAGTATTGAGTGTGCATAAAATCACTCTTTTAGAGTTGATCTAATTGTTACTGCAAACTGTTTGTTCCATATTTCCACAGTATTTATTAAAAACAGTAAACTGTTGCAGACTATACCATAATACATGAATTATACGTGTTATGGCCATACGTTTTATTTATTGTATCTATTGTTTTTCAATTGATGAAAGTGTTGATTTATTGTACATGAAGAACATGTTTTGGATTCGTTCCCTCAGGATATTCACCAAGCAGTCATATAAACGACAAAGACTTCTACAACATTATAGTTCCTTTAGAGAACTTCATCATATTTTACTAAAAAATAACAATTATCTTTATTTATTTCGCCACATGGTTGACATCCTCAAGGAAATTCTGCAAAATATGATCTTCATGTATAATTAAACAATGCTTTCATCAATTGAACAACGTGCCATGACCATCACTAAACTTAGAATTTATAAGTTAAGGAATAATCTTCGACAGTTTGCCACTTGCAACTAATACAATGGAAATGTGAAATGGACAGCAAAGGAGGTAGCAAGACCATGTAATTGATGGTGAATTGAATTGTTACTTATTCAAAGATATATCCTTTTTTTACACATTTAAATACTATATAGCTAATACATACAGTTGTTTGGAAGTATTACATCAAATAAAGTGATTCCATCCGAATACTACAGTAAACTCTTAATCAAGTACAATGTTTCTGAATAACCTGCTATATAATATATAAATGAATTTATAGTAAGAAAAGTAAAACCATATGACTTACTCGATCCATCGGAATTTATAGCTACAGATACTACTCCAAGTGAATGACCTGAAGGTTTGTATTTCAATTTTAAATTTGAATCTTTCTGCTCCCATACTTTCACAGAATCATCTACTGAACCAGTCACTATGTACTCAAGTGATTCTCTTTGACCAGAATGTATAGAATCTCTGTAAATACGATGTTATTATTAATAATATATAATAAAGAATGATTTGTATACATTATATTTTTTCAACCTGGAGTCCTCATTATTGGGTTCAGAATTTTTCTGTTCTTTTAAACAGCCCCATGCACATGTCCAAATGCTGTCTTCATGAGCATTTTCAGTTTTATGCACTAAGGAGTACTGAAACAATATTAATAAAATATGTATAAACGTAAAAAATTAATGCAGACTCGAAAATACCGGCCTTCCTTCACATTAACGGAAAATCTGCTCCAATAATCTTTACCAATATGAGAAAAGCTTACCATCCTTATAAAATAAGAAAAATATCGGTCGATAGGATATATTTATTATTTGCATATGGTTAAAAATATTATTCACATTACACTGCATTACACGCCATGTTTGGATTTTCTTAACTAGTTGCGCATACACACAACGCCACTGAAGTATAGGTACACTGGAACGCGACACCTATATTTGAAGGTAACCCGGCGAGCGCACGACTGTCTCACTCACCTCGTGTACGAGGTTGTCACACGATCTATTTCAAATCGTTTCTCTATGTTCACTTCACTCTATCTTCAAACGGTTACTTCACGCCAGTCTCAAAAGTTTACAGAGACGCTTGTGGTGAAATTTAGAACCCGATCTAAGTCAAATTTCGTCAACCACAATTTTGTCCGTTAGGAGCACGAACTCAAATGAGAAAATTGACAAAACCTGGCACTAATATTTACCACATTACATTTTCTTTCTGTACCACTAGCGTCGCTAGTTTCCTTTTTGTACTGACGTGAAAATAGCATAATAAATGCAAGTGAAGTAAGCAGGTACTGGCAGAGATGAGTAGGGAGATTGCCAATGAGCCTGTTTTTGGTGAAGGCAATCTTTCTCTGGTTTCGGCGCGCCACCTTAGCGGAGGGCCCTCGAAGCAGTTCCACGTTTTTGATTGGTCGTGTATATATAGTAATACTACGCGTGATAATCTGGAGCTGTGTTTTGGCGCGTCGACGCGCCACCTGAACGAGACTCTCGACCTAGTTCCACGTTTTTGATTGGTCGTGTATATATAGTAATACTACGCGTGATAATCTGGAGCTGTGTTTTGGCGCGTCGACGCGCCACCTGAACGAGACTCTCGACCTAGTTCCACGTTTTTGATTGGTCGTGTATATATAGTAATACTACGCGTGATAATCTGGAGCTGTGTTTTGGCGCGTCGACGCGCCACCTGAACGAGACTCTCGACCTAGTTCCACGTTTTTGATTGGTCGTGTATATATAGTAATACTACGCGTGATAATCTGGAGCTGTGTTTTGGCGCGTCGACGCGCCACCTGAACGAGACTCTCGACCTAGTTCCACGTTTTTGATTGGTCGTGTATATATAGTAATACTACGCGTGATAATCTGGAGCTGTGTTTTGGCGCGTCGACGCGCCACCTGAACGAGACTCTCGACCTAGTTCCACGTTTTTGATTGGTCGTGTATATATAGTAATACTACGCGTGATAATCTGGAGCTGTGTTTTGGCGCGTCGACGCGCCACCTGAACGAGACTCTCGACCTAGTTCCACGTTTTTGATTGGTCGTGTATATATAGTAATACTACGCGTGATAATCTGGAGCTGTGTTTTGGCGCGTCGACGCGCCACCTGAACGAGACTCTCGACCTAGTTCCACGTTTTTGATTGGTCGTGTATATATAGTAATACTACGCGTGATAATCTGGAGCTGTGTTTTGGCGCGTCGACGCGCCACCTGAACGAGACTCTCGACCTAGTTCCACGTTTTTGATTGGTCGTGTATATATAGTAATACTACGCGTGATAATCTGGAGCTGTGTTTTGGCGCGTCGACGCGCCACCTGAACGAGACTCTCGACCTAGTTCCACGTTTTTGATTGGTCGTGTATATATAGTAATACTACGCGTGATAATCTGGAGCTGTGTTTTGGCGCGTCGACGCGCCACCTGAACGAGACTCTCGACCTAGTTCCACGTTTTTGATTGGTCGTGTATATATAGTAATACTACGCGTGATAATCTGGAGCTGTGTTTTGGCGCGTCGACGCGCCACCTGAACGAGACTCTCGACCTAGTTCCACGTTTTTGATTGGTCGTGTATATATAGTAATACTACGCGTGATAATCTGGAGCTGTGTTTTGGCGCGTCGACGCGCCACCTGAACGAGACTCTCGACCTAGTTCCACGTTTTTGATTGGTCGTGTATATATAGTAATACTACGCGTGATAATCTGGAGCTGTGTTTTGGCGCGTCGACGCGCCACCTGAACGAGACTCTCGACCTAGTTCCACGTTTTTGATTGGTCGTGTATATATAGTAATACTACGCGTGATAATCTGGAGCTGTGTTTTGGCGCGTCGACGCGCCACCTGAACGAGACTCTCGACCTAGTTCCACGTTTTTGATTGGTCGTGTATATATAGTAATACTACGCGTGATAATCTGGAGCTGTGTTTTGGCGCGTCGACGCGCCACCTGAACGAGACTCTCGACCTAGTTCCACGTTTTTGATTGGTCGTGTATATATAGTAATACTACGCGTGATAATCTGGAGCTGTGTTTTGGCGCGTCGACGCGCCACCTGAACGAGACTCTCGACCTAGTTCCACGTTTTTGATTGGTCGTGTATATATAGTAATACTACGCGTGATAATCTGGAGCTGTGTTTTGGCGCGTCGACGCGCCACCTGAACGAGACTCTCGACCTAGTTCCACGTTTTTGATTGGTCGTGTATATATAGTAATACTACGCGTGATAATCTGGAGCTGTGTTTTGGCGCGTCGACGCGCCACCTGAACGAGACTCTCGACCTAGTTCCACGTTTTTGATTGGTCGTGTATATATAGTAATACTACGCGTGATAATCTGGAGCTGTGTTTTGGCGCGTCGACGCGCCACCTGAACGAGACTCTCGACCTAGTTCCACGTTTTTGATTGGTCGTGTATATATAGTAATACTACGCGTGATAATCTGGAGCTGTGTTTTGGCGCGTCGACGCGCCACCTGAACGAGACTCTCGACCTAGTTCCACGTTTTTGATTGGTCGTGTATATATAGTAATACTACGCGTGATAATCTGGAGCTGTGTTTTGGCGCGTCGACGCGCCACCTGAACGAGACTCTCGACCTAGTTCCACGTTTTTGATTGGTCGTGTATATATAGTAATACTACGCGTGATAATCTGGAGCTGTGTTTTGGCGCGTCGACGCGCCACCTGAACGAGACTCTCGACCTAGTTCCACGTTTTTGATTGGTCGTGTATATATAGTAATACTACGCGTGATAATCTGGAGCTGTGTTTTGGCGCGTCGACGCGCCACCTGAACGAGACTCTCGACCTAGTTCCACGTTTTTGATTGGTCGTGTATATATAGTAATACTACGCGTGATAATCTGGAGCTGTGTTTTGGCGCGTCGACGCGCCACCTGAACGAGACTCTCGACCTAGTTCCACGTTTTTGATTGGTCGTGTATATATAGTAATACTACGCGTGATAATCTGGAGCTGTGTTTTGGCGCGTCGACGCGCCACCTGAACGAGACTCTCGACCTAGTTCCACGTTTTTGATTGGTCGTGTATATATAGTAATACTACGCGTGATAATCTGGAGCTGTGTTTTGGCGCGTCGACGCGCCACCTGAACGAGACTCTCGACCTAGTTCCACGTTTTTGATTGGTCGTGTATATATAGTAATACTACGCGTGATAATCTGGAGCTGTGTTTTGGCGCGTCGACGCGCCACCTGAACGAGACTCTCGACCTAGTTCCACGTTTTTGATTGGTCGTGTATATATAGTAATACTACGCGTGATAATCTGGAGCTGTGTTTTGGCGCGTCGACGCGCCAAAACACAGCTCCAGATTATCACGCGTAGTATTACTATATATACACGACCAATCAAAAACGTGGAACTGCTTCGAGGGCCCTCCGCTAAGGTGGCGCGCCGAAACCAAAGAAAAATTGCGATCACCAACAACAGGCTCATTGGCAATCTCCCTACTCATCTCTGGTAAGACCGTGCCTAAAACCATAGCGTTGTGCATCTCCCCACTCATCTCTGTTGTGCATCTCCCCACTCATCTCTGCTCCCTACTCATCTCTGTACGTATATTTCAGTGCTCCCTACTGATCTCTGATGTATTGAGTGGCGTTGAAGAAAACGGGGTTTAGTGGTTAGGAAATTGAAGACTACACCCAGGATTTGTATGTGTGAATTCTTCCAAAACCTACGCATTTTTCTGATTTGTATTGGACCGTCGTAAACAATCAGCGTATTCGTTAAGGACTTCAAGTATACAGGAATTCGTTCTTTCGGCAGATGATCCATGATCATATGAGAACATACGGTTCATTGCAAAAGCATGGTAAGTAATTTCTTGTGAAGTTATATGTTTTTACTTCTTCCATTTGAAGGTTAATATGTCCACCTCAGAGTATATAACAGTTGTTTAAGACCACAATAATACAGCTGTAAATGCTTTTTATGATAATTGTTGTTAAATGATGCTTTACACATAAGATCATTGGATGCTTTTACGATTTTATTAGATTTGCTTAATGTATTTCCCATTCTCTCTATTTATCCATTTCTCCTCAAGAACTGGGTTCAGCATCATCAGCAGGTTTGTCTTAACCCTTATATGCATGATTTATAATGTAAGCAAGCAGATTCTATAGTAAATGCATACAGTTGCAGATTTACAACATCAAAATAAACAAAATTTCCAATAAAATCTAAAACAATTTTTCAAAACTAATATCTGTACCAAAAAACAGATGAGTTATCACATAAAAATATTATATTATTGAATGTACTTACCTTAGACTTTTGGTTTATTACACAGCAAAACAAAACTGCAACTCTGATATTCAATAAATTTCTAAGAATCTTCACTTTGTCAAAGCAAAAGTGACATTTGACATTCACAAAAGAAAAATAGGTGTTACTACTCGATAAAATATATTACTGTGGTCGTGATAATTCTATAACGGCATGCATTGAGCACATATTGATGAGTTTGAGGTCATTTGAATAGTATATTGCAATTTGACAGCAACATGCATTTAAAGGTTAAGCATTTTTTATTTGCACTTGTTTAAAGGTTTAGTTCAATTTTATTTCATGTTATTCTAATAATAAATCTTTCAGTTTTGTCATAGTTCTTTAATTGATAAAGGTCCTCTTTCTTTGGCTCATAATGAATTGTTTTCAAGTTTTATACAATAAGATATTATCCACTAGAGCTTGTAGTAAGATGAAAATCACGTTTTTTTTTCAGTTTTTTTGCACAAAAAAGATATTAAGGGGGTATATACACCTGGCAGGGTCCAAAAAATCAATTTTTCAATTTTTACATTTTCTCCAAGTGTTATATGTTAAGAATGTCTGGTGAGAAATTTAAGTAAAAATTCCAAAAAATGACAAAGTTATAGCCCAAATAGTACATGCGTTCGTAGGACCGGCGCCGCGCCGTGTCGGGTCATACAGGTAGTACGGCGCCGTCCATTCGGTCTTATTGTGCCTATTGTGTTTTTTTTTTGTATATCAGTATTTTATTGGTCCTGCATAGCCTGTCTGGGTTGACTACTTTAAACATAACGGTTATCCTGACAGAAATTTTGCGTGCTTCGTCAGTAGCTTTCCGTCCGTGTAGCTGTGCCATAGAGCAAGTATCGAAGCCTTCATTTGTGAATAAAAGTATACAGGAGTAAAGGTGGAAAGAAGTAAAGGTTCTCGAGAAAGTCACAAATCGAGTGAATTGCAGAGGGTCGCAAAAAAAAAAAGAAAATGGCGCCTAAAAATCGATACGACGCAAAAAGAACGGAATCGAATGTTAGTACCAGTGCCAAAAAATTGAAGACTACACGAGATGTTCCAGTGCCAGAAGACCTAGGTAGACGATATGGGCGTACCTTCCACTTCGGAGAACCTATATTATGGACCTGGTATTGATGACTTTGTGTAAGTTAAACAAATTTCATGATTTATCCATCGACCAATTTTCAACAAAGTTTTTCAAATCGGTACCCAAAATATCTCGAAAACCACTGAACCGATTAACTTGAAATTTGTTGTGGTTATCTTATACATAATTATATAGTCTTTGTCATAGGATTTTTTCCCCGATTCTTAGTTTTTTTTTTCTTGGCAAAATATGAACGAATTTTTGCATGAAAATGGCTAGATTGAGTTCAAGCGTCCGCCATTTTGTCAAAAATTGATATTCTTAAAATTAAGTATGACAAAGATAAGATAATAGTATCTATTTTAATATCCTGTTTGATTTTTTTGTTTCAGATGATTTGGACGAAACGCCAGTGGATACCGAAATGGCCGATTTTTTTACGACAGTCCGTAGACGACATCACTACTCCGTCAATTTGCAACATTTTTAAATAAAAAAAAAATTAAAAACGTTCTTGAAAGTGTATATTTTTAATTAGAAAAAGCCCCGACCCGATAGTTCCAATAGTTTCCGTGAAAAAAATTCTCGAAAATTACCTTTTTTTTTTCGTTTTCAGATGTATATTCCCCCTTAAAAATCAAAATTTTAACTTCGTAGAGCGTTAGTTTCTAGGAATATATATGTAGAATATGTGATTTAAATTTCATAAGGATCAGTCAAGTAGTTTTTGAGATCTCGTGGAGACCAATTTCAAAAATGGTGTTTCGAGAAAATCGCGTTCAAAGTTTTTTTTAAATGAAAAATCATGAAAAATGCTTACCTACAATTAATCTGCAATGCCTGCATCATCACAATCACAATCTTTACACTTTACATACTTTTGTAATAAACATACCTTGAAAAAGTTCAAGATATTATATCCTGACGTTTGTTCGATGTGCACATCGAAACTCGTATTTCTTGATTTCTTCAATTTTTAGGCTGATTTACTTGATGTTGTTCGTACAAATTCTGAGCGTATACTGCTTTGAAACAGTGCTCAACTATACTTATAACGGTTAGATTTCAAAAATATACCTGACAGTACATCATATACAATAAAGGAGCAGCTGTTACAGTAAATAAAAGTATAAAAGGGGGCTTACAAGGGGATGGTGCGACGTTGGTTACACGGATTTCGGAGTTCTTTTGGGGTAGGAAAGTACTTAGTAGTAACAATCTACGGGCCAATCGGCAGGAACCAACGCGGAGCCGTTTTGGAAAAAAACTGGTTTGAAAAACGCAGCAGTTCATATACCTGCACCGTTGCTAATATTTTCGAGAAGGCGGCGTAGCTCGGTGGCAGCGCGCCTGACTACCACCTGAGCGGCCAGGGTTCGATTCTCGACCACAAATAGATTTTTTTGCCGCCAAATTGATTGAAGAAAGAGTTATATTTGTAAATGAAAACGAAATATGCTTTCTTCTGTCGCTTTCCAAAAACATTGTAAGTGCGACGACGTTGCATTCATAACATGTGCGTGGTTTGAAAACAATTTATGTTTTTCATGCTTTTATGATAACTACTATCCGAATAGATGCAATGGCTGTACAGAAAACAACAGTGATAGCGACTAATAAACAATAATTGTAAACCAAAATACCCTGTGAATCTTTATAACATTTTGTAATAAATTAGTGTTTGATAATGAAAAATAATAGTGTTCCAATCCACTCATTTCGTACGTAAATTGATAAAATTGTTGATAGATAAATATGGGCTGTTGGGTAGTAAAAAAATGAATTAATATTAAAAAAAAATCTATTTGCGGTCGGCAATTGAACCCTGGCCTCTCGGGTGGTAGTCAGGCGCGCTGGCACCGAGTTACGCCGCCTTCTCGAAAATATTAGCAACGGTGCAGGTATATGAAGAGTGCTGCGATTTTCAAATCGGTTATTTTCGAAAACGGATCCGCGTTAGGTCCTGCCGATTGGCCTGTGGATTGTTATTACAAAGTACTTTCCTACCCCAAAAGAACTCCGAAATCCGTGTGACCAACGTCGCGCCCTCCCCTTGTTAGACCGACGGAAAGCATGTAGGCGCGCTCGGCGCTCAGGTACGCGCGCTAAGGTACTTATGTAAAGGACGCTGAAAAATATACTTACACTGCTCCGATCGTTTTGAAATTTTTACTCAACCATATTACATGTATTGTGTAAAATTCGCAATCAAGCCTCGTCGGGAGATGACTGAGCGGAGACAGACCGGCGCACAACTTACGCGATTCCTTCGCGTTCCAGGCAACCCGGGGCTAACACATACTAAACTCAAAATACCTACGGTATTGTTGGGTGCCAGGTTCCAAAACGGAAACCACGTATACTTCAGTTCGATTCGTTCGTTCGTGCCTCCATTGGTTAACTCAGCTCAGCGGAAATGTCGGGGATCTTCGAGAGTAAGGACCACTCCAATAAAATAATACTTCGGCTGTTTGGGTCAACAATAACAAAATCGATCATGCGTCAACTTCGGACGCGACCACGCGGGTACAAAAAAAATCCAACTAACAATTTTGACAAATAAATAACGGACCCAATAAGATCGCAACTAAAACAATAAAGTCACTCATCTAAGTTGTGAGGGTCTAAAACCAAAAATGATGACAATATCAATTTTATAACTCGTATCATAATATATTCCTACGAACATTTCGCAATCTATTCCGCGCAGTCAAATTCACACACGTCAATAACTACGGTCGTACATACCGACGGAAATTTCACAAGTTGTGGAAAAATTAACCTCCCTCGGCGGAGGCGGCGATAATCTTCGACATTAATAAATACTTTCGTATGATGTGATACATTTCGACTTTTCCGAAATTCCATACTGAGACGTTTCGTGATTTTGGAGCCTTAGGAATCACGAGACTTTTTGTAGGGTTTGTGCACTGGACAGGCGTCTTCAGAAACAATTAGACACTGGAGTTTTTAAAATAAAAAGATAATGATATATTGTCCTATAAATTACAGACTAGGTATCCTTAATAATCTATTTTGTTTCTCTCACACGCATTCACACACTTTATAATTGTCTCTCGTTTGATACTCGTACCGTAGGCGACAAGAAGTGTTTTTGTTTACGTGTCTCTATTATCCTTTTGGAATGGAAAGAGGTAGCTGGAGCCACAATACAGCAGATTGTACAATGCGTCCAAAGACTGTGGGCCAGCTGTTGATACGGATGATAATGATTCAGTACCACAAGGAGATCACAATGAACCACGTTTGCTGAATCCCTTATTTTGAAGATAGGTCAGGCTCAGACAGCTACTAATCACAATGATATTGGGAGCTGAGCTTTTTAAGGAATGTGGTTGTTATGTTGTGGTCGATTTCTGACAGCTACAGCACAATGCTTTCGATGCAGAATATCTACAAGGATGGCAGATTTCCTGATACAGAGTGGAGACACAATACTTTCCAAGATCAGGAACTGCCGAGGATGAGTTCCCACAGTTTGCAGTACAATACTGTTCACTGGTTCGTTCTGGAATAGAGGACTGGTTTTCTCCTAGCTTCCTAATAATTTGTACTTTACAAATCTTTACTTGCTTCTTGTCGTCTTGTGGTTTATAAGGGTCTGGTTGATTCGTCTAGACAGACACGACAGATTCTCCTATCGAGGAAGCCGCTGCTTATATCCTCGATAGGAATACGTTAAATCTAGTGGGGATAACGATTTTTATCCTCCCGAGGTGTTGACGTCGCTTTTTGGATTCAATATTTTGATTTATTACTTGATTTGACTAATTGGATATAGCGTCTGGGCACTTGTTTGTTTTGATTTCAGTCGGTCGACTGTCTTTCAGATTATAAGAGAATTAAATGTAATAATTTCTAATATTATTTCCTCATGACTGTCGCTGTGACTAGATTCAAGGGAATTACGCAATATTAGAGATTTAAAGGTCCTATATTCCCTTTCCTTTATCGGCGTCGCTGTCAGAGGTCGATAGGATTATTGAGGAATTCTAGGATTTGAGGAGTTCTCTCAGATACTGTTATGCATATCCACAGTGCGCTATACACTCTTATGTGGGGCTCTTGACGAATCCATCATCGAGAATGGATGATTAGGAAGGAAAAAGGATGGAGGATAGAGGGGTATAAGGGTGGAACGTTACAATACATACGTTCGAACATTTCGCTATATTTTCGACATTTCAAATTCAATACAAACTTCCGGACATTTCGAGATCTGTTTCAATCACATACTATCTCAATATCTGAGTCGATTCTACAATCTAACGCGATCTAATCGCGATACTTTGAAAATACGACCTCAAGGACCGCTTCTTGCAACTCTCGGCAACACGTCCCTCACTTAAACACGATACAATGTATTTCGGAGATCAAACACTCAACTTTTGCCGTGAGAACCAATTATTCAAACACATTCATACTCGAATCGATTCACAAAACGCGCGATAAATATGTCCACTATGGGCAACACATTTACGCGAACACAGTCCTTTGTCAGTCGGCGGAATCTCGTACTCTAAACGAACGCGATTCTACAAGTGGGAACATCTCCCACGTGTTTACAGGCACAACTCAAAACGTACAAAACGTGCTTACGAGATTTCGTCGCTCACAAAAACAACAAATCGCTTACCGAAATCTCTACGTCTCTTTATTCTGGAGAAATAAGCCCGTAGACGCGGCCTCGGACAAAGTCCGGATTTTCCGCAGAGTTTAACCCCGAAAAATAACACGACTCGCGTTGTCGACAGTCCAGGTAAGAAGAAGGAATTCGCCTTCCCTTTCGTTCGTAATCGGCAGCACCGGAGACTATCATCCTCTCCGTTATTTGCAACCACTTCTGATTGGTCTTTCGGCCCCAATCAGAAATCTTCAATGTGGCACCACGCGCTATAATTCAAAATGCGTTTTCGCTATAGTTCATACAATTCGGGAACAGCGATTACAGGCTGTCCCGCGATGGCTCCGTCGTCCCATAGGAATTCGCAACGGTTCACCAGGCGTCCCCGGATTCCCAGTTCGCGAGTCTTCGTTCCTTTCGTCGATAGCGGTGGGCCTCCGTCACGGGTTGTGGTGCGTTGCAGGTGCTCCGTCCTTCGTAGGTCTCTGTCACGCGGAATGAGTAATAGCTCCCTGCTAGTTACTCGGTACACGTAGACCAGTTCATTTAGCTTGGGTGATATCGTGCGTAGAGTTGATCCAAGTCGCGAGGTAATTGGTGCGGTGAACTATAGCGCGCGCAGCTAGGGTCCCGTTGGCACTCTGACGTCACTCAGCCTTTCGTCCTCGTTTCTCCCACGCCGATGATCCCTCGCTGTTTCTTTTCGAGATTCGGCCAGCCCGCGAATACAATATTCGCGGCATGGGACATAGCAAAAACCAAACAACAAAATTAGAAATAGAAAATTCGTAACATCTTTGGCCCTTGAGGTGGTGGCATCTTGCCTGGATTATTTTTCTAATTCGCGTTTCCCCGCGTATCACTACAG